GCCTTGCACAGGCTTTGCACAAACATGAATTGTTCGGTTCATCAAGATCTATTTCCTGCTTGAAAGCTGTCCTTAGCCCTATCCTTTCTCTTTAAGCTCCTTCTACCTTAAAGGAGCTTCCCTGAGTTTTTGTCCCCTCAGCACCTGAAGTAAATCTCCACCCACTCCAGAGATTTTGTGAAGCCCTGGCTCTTCTCTGTAACCTAGTGGGTTCCAACCAAACCACAACTCCAAAAAGTCATAAAAAGTAAAAAACAAACCAAAAAAAACAAAAACCTAACCAATTGTGGATATTGACTTTCTCCAGAAAAGTTTCCCTAACTTTTTCATTTGAAATTATTTGGACTGGGCATTTTTAAAAAGAAGTTTCCTTTTGGGGTTGGGATGTTTTTCCTGCCTTACGATGGTGCCCATGGGAAACTTAGGATTGTCTCTGGCTCTCTCATGGGATGTGCCATGAAGTGTTCTCTCTTTTACTGGCCCCAGACCCTGAGGCAAGAGACACATCTTTGAGGCTACCATCTCCCCAAATTGCAGGAGGGAGCAGGGGGCACATATCCTAGCTACCTATAAATCCCAAGACCTATCCCGGGGATTGGAGGCTCTCTCCTGAGGCTTGGCACAAGGGGGTGTAGGAAGGAGAGCAGGAGCTCCAAACGAACTTTGAACTTCCTGGTTTCCTTTCTGCGTCAACTTTTCCTACCGTGAACAGCTTTTAGTTCCATCTTGACCCTATATGTCCTTCAAGTCTACTGTTTATGGTATCAACTTAAAGTTCAAAAATACCCAGGTTCTAACAACTCAAAAACCTTTTCCTCAAAGCTGTGGTCCATGGTTATCAAGTCCTTTTAATGTTCACAGGTGGTCAAATGGCTTGTTTCTTTTCTCTGGGAAGAAGCCTCTGCCAGCACATATGGTAGTCAAAGGATTGGAGTCAGATAAATTGCTGATGAAAACACCAAAATTAATATAAGATTTAGTCTGCTACATATTGGTGTGATATAGGAGTGGCTTTCTGCATTCCATGTAGATGGGCAATCACATACTCAGGACGTTTTGGACTGTTGGTTACTGACATTGGCACTGGCTGATATCTAGCTATAGCAGGACTGCCACTTCAGAGGGCCTGTGGGTAGGACACTTGCCCTGGAAAGATATGTGTGGTGAAGGAAGCTTTCTATGGCTTGGTTCATCTCATGGATTTCCTTAATGAAAATCTCTCCTCCACATGGAGGTGGTTCAACCACCGCACAACCTTCAGGTCGGGCCAGGAAACATAGCGTGGGCCTTATTGTTCTCTGTCTCTTCAATCTCAGAGTCCAGCCCAACAGGACTAGTTCACAACAGACACCTGTTTGAAAGCCAGTGAAGGGCATCAGCTAAACTAATGAAACTGCTTAAATCAAACCACAGCTGACTTGCTTTGTATTTTTGAGATATTGTAATTTATTTTAATTCAGTGTACAAAACAATTAAAGAACCAAATCCATCCAAGATATCAGTACACACATAGGCCTTAGGTGCTACAAATACAGGAGAGGGAGTTTGGGTTTGTTTGGTAAATGCCTAATGGGCAGGGAGCCCCTTTTCTTCCATCCCGTCACTCCCCCTCCCCCCACCGCCCCACCCCACCCCAAAATGTCACTTCCTCATTCCGGGGCCTCTGCATCTCAGAAGCACAGTGGCCATCTTCTCAGAGGTAGAATGTGTGCTCACGTGGGTGTTCCTGTGTGTCAGGTGCAGGGATGGAAGAATGCCGGAGGAAGCAGACAGATGCGGTCACGTCTCTTCTTTCTGTGCTGTTTGCTCAGGGGGAAGAAAAAGAGCACACTCTTCATCTGTGTTCCTCCTCCACACACCTTTAATGAGCACTGTTTTCAGTTTTTATTTGCTCATCAATAAACCCAAGGGTAGGTCTTGTCTGTTCCCAGAGATAAAAAACTGCATGCATAACTGGTCTTTATCCAGCCAAACAAGCAGTTTCTCTTTGTTTGTCACAGTGTTTCAGGGAGATAAGAGGAAACCACCCAGACATGATGCACAGACCCAGGAGGTTTTGAAATCCTTTGTAAACTCATGCTCTATTCTGAGCTGTGGATTAGTGATGGAAAGAAAGGAAGAGGGCATCACATATAACCTAAGTTGATTTTGCTCCTAGGTTTAAAACAAGCAGGTGAATCCCCCCGCCCCCCCCCCCACACACGCAAAGAGACAGAGAGAGGGGAGAGAGAGAGAGAGAGAGAGAGGAAATCATTAATAAATGTTCAACTGAGGGAAGAATAAGCTGATTCAATTATTAGCACAGAAGTAAAAATAGGGAGAATTTTAGTAATTCAAATGAGAATATACCCCGAAAATAGTGGACCTTTTTCCTATCACAAAAACTTTCTGTCTTATGGATTCAGACCAATATTGGCAGACAGGATCTAAGTTCAGTTGAAGAGCCACATATATTGCCAAGAAAACGTGGGCTGGGACCAGGTTAGAATCCTATTTTAAATTTTTTTCTAATGTTTATTTATTTTTGAGAGATCAAGAGAGACAGAGAGTGAGTGGAGGAGAGACAGAGAGAGAGGGAGACACAGACTCTGAAGCAGGCTCCAGGCTCTTAGCTGTCAGCACAGAGCCCAATGCAAGGTTCGAACCCATGAACTTCAAGATCATGACCTAAGCTGAAGTTGGACACTTAACCGACTGAGCTACCCAGGTGCCCCGAGGTTAGAGTCCTATTAAGCCCATGCCTTTTGAGGCTCTTGCAGGTTTCTGAGAGCAAGGCAGCCTAGAGGGGTTGATGTGAGACTGGTGATGGAAGCTATTAAGTAGAGTAACACTAATAAACATAAGATCAGTTGGCACCGATAGAAAGGCACAAAGGAAAAGATGTTTTTAATAGCAAATGAAAATTTGGGGTAGCAATTTGAGTAGATGCAGGAAATCTCCTAGGAAGTCATCTAGGAGAAATTTGCTATTGAGCTCTGGAAAAACCCAAGGTTGAGCCCTGAAATGATGGTGGGAGTGCCTGGGAGGATAGAATCGTCAGGAATTTAAGGCAGAAAGGAGAATACCCAAAAGACAAAGATAAGTAGCTAATGGAAGGAAAACTTAAGTTGAAAGCCACAACACCATTGCTTCAGAGCAACCAGGTAGAAAATGAGGAGATAGTGAAGTCTTAGTGAAGCTGAATGGTGCTTCATGGTCTGTGACACATATTCTGCATTACTGTCTCTTTCCACCCTTAGGCTCATGAACTTAAATTGCCCTATGGTAGACTTTTGACTATATCTCATCTCCAGTTCTGGATAGTGAATTCCCTGTAGGGAAAAGATATGTCCCAGGCTTTCTAGAATTTCCCCTATAATACCGAGTATGGGGCCTCACTGGAATAGTAGCTCAGTAAGTGTTAATTGGCAGAATTAATTAGTTAATGAACAGCCTCCTCTTTAAGAAATTAATTAGGTAATCCCAAATTAAATGCTAGATTTGAGGAGCCAAAACCTGGATTATATGTTACCCTTCTCATGTTGAGTAAGTCAGAGGAGCAAAACCCTGCAGAAGGAAAGAGAGAGAGGAAGAGAGGAAAGAAAGAAGGGAGGGAGGAAGGAAGAAAGGAAGGAAGGAAGGAAAAGAAAGAAATCATTAGTACTTTACTTCAGAAGGAATCGGTGAGTATAATGCTAGATATCGGGCAAAAAGATTTGAGGTGTGAGTCTTAGGAGAGAGGCCAAAATGGAATGGACTTTTCCTTGATCCTTGATTCATTCAATCAGGCCAAGGCTGAACTTTAGGTGATTTTTGGAGGGGTGGGTGTGGAGGTGAGCAGTGGCCATGGTTACTCTGGCTAGTAATTTTCTGCTGCAGGTTTGTGTTTTTGGAAGGTTGACTTTGTGAAAGCAGAGGTCTTGTCTACCTTGTTCGCTGTCATACCTCCAGCATCCAGAAGAGCTCTCTTGCCATATAGTAGGGACTTAAGAAATAATTGGGGAAAGAAGAGAAAAAGGGAGGGCTCTGCTTTTCATGCAAGTAAACCTGGCACTTACTCGCTCCCTTATGGGTTACCAAAGGCCCCCTCAGGTTCTGTGTTAGCAATCAAAGATACCAAAAAGGTGAGATGCCAGTCTTTGCCCCCAAATAAGTGATCGTCTAGTGGAGAGAGAGGGAGGGAGAGACAGAGAGAAACATACCAGGTGGTAAGTGCTCCTCCAAAGAGTCATGGTAAAGATAGAGTGGGCCAAAGGGAGCAGGGAGCATCTCATCTGCCCTGAGGAAGAGTGGGCGGCAGAGAACATCTCAATCCTGAGCAGAATTCTAATAAACTCAACGAGGCTTTGTAGGCTTGAGAACGTTTTAATCTCTATAGTCCTAAAACGGACTGTGGGTATATTGAGTCAACTATGGAAGACGGTGAGTCATTGCATTTTAGCCATTGTCTATTCAGGGTCATTTTGCTAGTGAAAGTTATTTTGCCTTGGTGCCCACTGGACTTTGGTTTTATTGCGGGAATGCAAAGGCTACAGTGAGTCTGTCATGCGGCAGCGTCTCATAGAATTGTGGCTTTATAAGCGCAGTCTAAATGACACAGACCGAAGGCCCATTGTCTGGTCCAGACCTGCACCACACACTGGGAGTAACAGCTTTGTTAAGCATGATGGGTTAGGCCCAGTCTTTGTTCTTTTCTGAGCACTTTCTCGTTCCAATGACAAGGATTAATGATACAACCACTGTAAAGTGGTCTTTGCATTTTATAAAAGCCTTTAGCAATAAAAGTGCATGTTTCCCCATCAACACAGCAAATTTCCTGAAGAGGGTGGATAAACTTGACAACAGAAAGAGCATCAGTTGTTTGAAAAAAAGTTCTGGCTGGCTAAGCTTATTTACACATAGGAAAAGGATGTGTGCGGTGGGGGGTGGATATGCTGATGAACTCTTTAACAAGAAAATCCAGGGTCTGAGGAAAAAAGAAGATCCTGATTGGACTTCTGCTTCTTGATTTCCTTACACAGGTACTGAGCCCAGCACAGATCAAATCAATTTGCCAGGCGATTCTGGACTCTGGGAAGCAGTACGCCATGAAAAAAAGGAAGCCATTCCCTCTGATGTACTCTTACTATGGAACTGAATACTTGGGTGAGTGAAGGTGTTGTTGGCAAAGTCCTGTAGGAAGAAGGGAGTCCCTGATACCCTCACTGACTACAAACTAGATTTTTTTTTGGGGGGGGGGGGCATAGGTCATTCCTCTTCATTTCACTAGAAACACTTTAAAATGCCACTTGAAAACAAATACTGATAGATACTACAAATCACAATTGAATGTTTGTTTTCATAGCTTGACAGAAGGGCAGCTATTGTAATGATTACTTTTACTAAAGGCTAAAATCTTTATTCTAGATCGTGAGTTCATTGGCTGAATTTCACTGAAAGTTTGTGAACAGTTTATACACTCATTGCCAATAGTGCCAATGCACAGGGAAACACAATGAAGCCAGTAACAATTTCAAGTGTTTAATGCTAGTGGGTTACTAACAGACTGCTTACTGAATCACAACGGCCCCTTTTGAGCTAGAAGGCATGTAAAGTGAAAATTACTTACTCCCCTTTTGAATCTTTCAGTGGCTCCCTGAAAGAGAGTCCTGAGCATGACTCGCAAGGCCATTTGTAGATTCCTGTTCCCTTCTCCAAACTCAGGCTTTATCTCCCTCCCTTTTCTGGGTCTGTGCAGCGTAATCTCCTCCAAGCCAAGTGTTCTCATATCTTCAGAATCTCTGTGCCTCTTCCTTTTGCCTAGAAGGCCCAGCCTCCTCCGACCCCTTCAATTCTCTGTAATACTTCTACACAGACTTCAAGACTGATCAGACATCACCAGAGCTATTGAGAAACTTGGTGATTTTGGAAAATGGGTCTATTGAATCCTCTCTGGAAAAACAGTCACATGTTTCAGGTTTTGCCCTGAAGCAAAATTGGCCTGCCAAGTGTGGTCACCCTGCCACACTTATATTGGAGCCCTTATCACATCACACTCTATTTAGTGGCTTACCTGTCCGACCGCCTCAGCCGGCTTTGTGCACCTTCAGGATGTGGACTTTTGCTTACTTATCCTTGTGATCCCTGGTCGTTTACCAACAACCTGTGCCTAATGAGGGTAGCCAAATGAATGAGTGAATAGCTGATGAACAACTTCAGCAATGAGCATATGGACTGGGAGTTGTCTGAGAGACTTCTCAAAGAACCTTTAAGTTCCTGACTGAGTTTCTCTAGAATCAGACCTTGAGACAAGGATTTGGGTATAAATGGCTTGACCCTAGAAAGTGTTGATAGAGGAATGAGGAAGCGAGAGTACAGAAAAAGGTTAATAGAGGATGTAATAGTGAGCAACTGTGGATAACTCAGGCTTGGTCCCACTGGGGTCCCTGAAGGCTGTATAGAATGTGCCTCAGAATTATCCCACCTAAATGATGAGGAAACTGGAGTATTCACCCACCAACTCCCTGCTTCATGGGTTGAGGGGCTGCTCCCAGACCTGCTAATTCCCTAGGACTTCCACCCTGCTCCTGTGGGCTGGGCATACCCCTGTGGCCAGAGAAAGCCTCAGGCAGAATGAGAAATACTTCAGATGGAAGGTGAGGAGGAGGATAGGTGCACCAGAATGGTGAGTGTAGACGAGGTGATGGGCAGGACACTGACAGTGTCTGCTAGAGCTCCTTAATAGAACTATTCTTTCCATTTTTTCATCTTTTTAGAGAAATTAACATTCTAGACATTTACATGTATAGCACAAACCAGATGGCTATCTGATGCATAAATATTTTCCTGGAAAGTAAGCTTTTTTTCCCCTAACAATTTAAAAGCCATTGAAAGAAAGGCACCTTGAAGTATTACAACTGAATTTTAAGAAGAATCATCTTTGACGGGATAAAACTGTAAGGCCTTTTTTGGGCAGTCAAGAGTTCCGAGGGCCTGAGTGCAAAGAGAAAGCTTCACAGTTACACAGTTGAGTTTAAAGAAAAAGCCCTCCAAATATATTGAACCCAGCACCTCCCACCAACCAGCATTCTACTCATTAGGAATGAGTGAAAACCCCTGCAGGGCTGGGCTGACTTTTACCTTTGTTGAGCTAGCTCCTTCTCTGAAAGCAGGCTCAGGCCTTTGCTAGTACAGTACCCTATGCTGGAACTCCTAGGAATTCTTCAAGACTTGCTCAGATGACACTACCTGTGTAGACAGAACCTCAAGTGCCCCCTCAGATCCTCCCATGGTTCTCTGTTAGCTCCTGGTACACATCTCTCATAACAGCATTTATCACTTCATATTCTATTTGTCTATTTATGAGTCTGGCTTTCTCACTGTACCATATGGGGAGGTCTTCAAGAATCAGACCAAGTCACATGCATCTGTGTACCCCCAAGGTTTAGACAGTGCCCGATATACAGTACTAAATGTGAAGGATTAAGTAAATTAATACCCGTTATTAGTGTTTAACTTTACAGAAGAAGGGATTTAGTCTGTTTTGTTCATTCATTTATCTTCAACACCGAGAACAGTATCTGGTACGTATTAGGTGCTTAATTCTGATGTGTTGAGTGAATGAATGAATGTTTAGATACCTAGAACAAATTATTTTTAAGCACTGTAGGAGGATTTTCATAAAAGCTATTGGTATGTTAATTACAAAGTTTAAATTTTTTTAATGTTTATTTGTTTTTGAGAGAGAGAAAGCCAGAATGCGAGCAGGGGAGGGGCAGAGAGAGAGAGACACACAGAGGATCTGAGGCAGGCTCCAGGCTCTGAGCTGTTGGCACAGAGCCTGATGCAGAGCTCGAACTCAGGAACCGTGAGATCATGATCTGAGCCAAAGTAGGACGCCTAACTGACTAAGCCACCCAGGTGCCCCACCTTTCTTCAAAAAATTTTTTAAATTACATTTTATTTTTTTATGTTAATTGAAAAGTTTAAAAAAATCTTTTCTCTATAACGGGTTGTCACTAACTATTTTTCTATAAAGGGATAGACAATAAAGATTTTAGGCTTTGTGGGCTATATGTCTCTGTCACAAACACAGCTCTGCCACTGTAGCACAAAAGGAGCCATAGATAACACACAAATGAATGAACGTGGCTCTATTTCAATAAATCTTTATTTACAAAAACGGGCAGTGAGTCAGATGTGGCCTGCAGGCTGTAGTGTGCTCATCCCTGTTCTAACATATGCTCCCCAGAAGCCTAGTTCTTAGGAGCTTTATTATTATATGACTGTGTGTGCTTTCACGTAATATTGCCATTCATTTTTTTATACTCTGTCCTTTCACTAAACAAAATGGGCTCTCTTCCCAATTGTGTGAATTAATTATGCTTTGTGTGTTGATATAGGAGCAGCTCATGGCCTGTCGTCCATTCTCCAGATGCTTCTTTCTTACCACGAGCACCTCAAGCCCTCAGATCAGGAGCTGGTATGGCAGAGTGTGGACTTCCTCATGGAGCAGGAGCAGAACTGCAACTGGCCACCTGAGCTTGGCGAGGCCATCGAGAGGGAGAATGAGCTGGTGCACTGGTGCCATGGCGCCCCAGGTCTCACCCACACTATTATCTGAAAATATTGCCTTTCACTGGGCTTAGCCAAAGAGAGGTGTTTTTCTCTGAGAAGTGACAGTATTTCTCATCTATGCGATGACTACATGAGATTGAAAGGTCAAGATGAAACTTGTCAAAGCTAAAAAAGTCTTGATCCGTAAAGGATCTCCAGGACTGATCGTGTAGTTTTAAAAATACATGATCAGTGTCTATTTGTATATAAATTAAACTAGCACTGTCCAATAAAATATAAGATGAGCCACATATGAAATTAAATTTTTAGTAGCCTCATTAAAATGTAAAAAGACAGGTGAAATGAATCTCAGTAAGATATATTTTATAACCCAACATACCCCAAGTATTATTTCAACATGCAAACAATTTAAAAATTAAGCTGTTTTATACCTTTTTCATACTAAAGTCTTGGAAACCCAGTGCATATCTTATACTGATACCCCATCGCAATTCTGACTAGCCACATAGAAAGTACTTAATAGGTACATTGGACAGTGTGGATCTGGAGGCTGCTAGTTCAAAATGTGGTCCCTGGACCAGTGGCATGGGCAACATGGAGCTGGTTAGAAATGCAGAACTTCAGGCCCCACCCCAGACCCACTGAATCAGAATCTGCACGCTCACAAGATCCCTGCGTAATCTATATGTGCATTAAAGTTTGAGATGCACCATTCTATAATTCTTCAAATGAGGATTTTCATCATTACCTCATAAAAAGTCTAGAGAACTGAGAAGCCAGTTGCAGTGAACTCTCTGGAATTGAGCCTAGAAACTTATCAGACTCCATCTTTTCTTTCTCTTTTTTAAAAAAATCCCATTACACTGTTAGGCCTTCTGAGAAGGGGCAGTTTGAAATAAGTTAAATTCAAATAAATCAATTAATTTCAGTCGAGTGGCCAGGGGAGAGATGTAAAATAGCAAAATAACACAAAAAGTTTGGATTAGGAACAGATTTAATTTTCAAGGCTATGCTTCAATGCCGTGAGCACAACTGTAGAATATATTAGATTTCTCTGTAGTTTGTTACCTGATTTTTATTACTTCCTTTCCCCTCCTTCTCTAATTAATGTTCTTTAATCCCACTGTAATTCGGTTTTTTTCTTTGGTCCTGTCTCAGTTCAATAATAACATAAGTTTTGGCTCATTGGCCAGATTTTCTCTGCCGGCCGCATTTACCTAAGGAAGGGACTTCAAAGGCTCCTGTGTGTGCTTGTACCAGCGCCAGGCATTGTGCATTATGTCCAAGCTAATTCCCGCTGGTGGTAATTTGAGTCCATTTCTTCTTGCTTTGAACTTTTTGGAGAAAAACACGGTTGTTGACCATTCTGGAAATGCTCTCTCTTCATGTTACGCTCAGCACTCCACTTCCCATTTCCCGTGAATCATTTTGAGTGATGGTTTCTGGATATCCGCCAAGCACCCCCAGAATCCTTGAATTTTGGAGGTGTCCCATGTTAAATATAGAATATTTTAAAGGGACTCAATGTGCTGGTAAGAGCCCTATGAAGCATGGGAAGATAATCCATTAAAACAAGTGACTGGGTCAGTTCATTGATGTGGGTGTCTTACAGGGCACTTATTTCGTCCTCTTTATATGCCACATGCCTTCTGTCTTTGTAAATCCTGTGCTGTAACAGTATAGCGTAGGATTCATCACCTTGGGGACTTTATTTGTCCTCATATATCATTCACATTCAGTGTCTTGGTAAGATTAAATATAGGCTGCAGAGCAAAATCATTTAACCCACGTTTTCACTGGACTGCCCCAAATAAACCAAGTCACAAATGAATAAAGAACCAATTGGGGCCCGTTATTTATGCCAACCTGCACTCCCAATCAAGGGTATTAGTCTTCCTTTTATGAAATGTGCCCAAAACAGCATAAGAATGATTATAAATCTGATAAGTACAGGTTAAAAACCATCAAGATTTTTCTGAATTCAGCAACAGTACGCTCTCCCCAAAATTCTAAAACAGATGACTTAGAAAAATAATTTTCACTTGTTCGAGGAAAATATTTTTGAGGCTAGATTTATGAACAGCACAGATGGTTTGGGGCAGCAGACTGATTCTGTGATTAAAAACCTGCCAGAGATAATCCAAATGTGGAATTTCATCAGTGATACCTTATCTCCCCCTATAATTGTTTCCTATTGACTGTCCTTCACCCCACCTCTACAGGTGACAGACAGCCTTAGTTACCATGTATGCGGTGTGGAAGTAGTTCTTGACTCGAAGTGAATAACCTTGGGTTCTAATTGTAGCTCCAACACTAACCACTAAATGACCTTGAGAAAACGCTTTGTGCCTTTTGTGCCTCTGTTTCTTCATCTGTGAAATGAGTGTGTTGAGATTCCTATGACCTCTTCATAGCCTTAATGATTCTGAAATGCAGGATGAGAGTCATTTACAAAATCATTAAAATAAATGCTGTGGCTAAAATAAACTCTGGATTGCATTATGTTATGTCACTACTGTGGTGACACTGACAGTGCATTTCCTTTACTCTGTGTGAAACACAGGTGTGGCTCTTTTTTAACATCATTTCACAAGGGCTCCTGAGTATGTGACCTTGAATGGAGAACAAGGGCTTGTGCAGTGCAAGTGTCTTTGGTCACTAAACCTTGTCGTGCACTGTATAATGCACACAGCTGTGCAATTACGGACTGCACAGCAGACTTGGGTGGTGATTCTCCAATGTGTTGAAACTATGCATGCCAAGTCGAGCTGTCACAGGGCTCTGCTAGATTGCACGCTTGCACAGGTTTGGCTTCTCAAGCCATATTTCTTAAGTAATGATTTCTCCCCCCCCCCCCGCCTTGTGTTTGGTAAACACATAATCGTCGCTGACTTAGGTTTCTTATTAGTGCTCTGGCGACAAAATGACACAGTTCCTATCAAAAGCAAAGACACCCAACATCCTTCCTTTTAGATTAAGCAGCCTTATTGTGGATTTCAATGGGGTCAGGTTAGAATATGTTTAGAAGTCTTCTAAGGTCCCTTCCATGTACCATTCTGTGATCCAGGCTGCAGGAAGAGGCCCTTTGTCTCTTGCCAGAACCATAGAATCAATGGCTATTAAGCTGCCTTGGGCTAATACATCCGTTGGACCGTATCAGCCCTTCTTGTTTCCACACCTCATTTCCGCTTCAGGGTTGGCCTGTACCGGGGTGGGAAATGAGATGTTCTAAGGTCAGCAGACATTTGTGGAGCCCCTGCCATGTCAAATGCCATGCGCCACAGACTAGGGGAGCAAAAACGGATGGGATGGAGTTCCCGCCCTTGGGTGGTTTGCACTATCCTAGGGGAGCCAGGCATATAAACAGGTAATTTTAATATGATATAGTGTAAGTGCTAAGATTTGTAGAGGGAATGATGGGAACTTAGGAGAGGGATTCCTGGTGCCCCTCCAGGTTTAGGGAAGGCTTCCAGGAGGCAGTGATGCCTGAGGTAAGTTGGCCAAGCCAGGAAAGTTGGGAAGTGTGTTCCAAGAAGAGTCATTCAGAGGCTTGGAACCACATAGTGAAGGAAGGGGAACTGTGGGTGGTTTGGTTTTACTGAAGTGAAGAGCTTCAAGTAGGTAATGGAGGAGAAGAGGAAGAACAGAGTCACAAAGCTCAGTCACAAAGGGCTTTCTGTGTCTCACCTGGATACCAGCTTCACCTGGTCCTGAGGGGAAGCTGAGAAGCACAGATTACACCACAGAGTTGGTCCATCTTGAGGCAGGAGAGCTGACCTTTGGTATCCCTGGGTCAGCCAGTCATTGGCTGAAATCTGCGGGGCTGGTGGGCATATAGCATAGCCTCCCATTTGACTGAGGGCAAATCTCCCAGGAAGAGGGCAGCTGTGAGCTTTATTAGTGGCCAACTCCTAGCAACTGGGAGGTGGGGCGCATGCCAGTAAGGTCAAGGGGAGGGGCGCCTGGGTGGCGCAGTCGGTTAAGCGTCCGACTTCAGCCAGGTCACGATCTCGCGGTCCGTGAGTTCGAGCCCCGCGTCAGGCTCTGGGCTGATGGCTCGGAGCCTGGAGCCTGTTTCCGATTCTGTGTCTCCCTCTCTCTCTGCCCCTCCCCCATTCATGCTCTGTCTCTCTCTGTCCCAAAAATAAATAAACGTTGAAAAAAAAAAATTAAAAAAAAAAAAAAAAAAGGTCAAGGGGATCCAGCAGAACACCCAGGGCTTTCAGTTCACCTGGCTAATACCTCCTCATCTTTGGTAGTCAGTCTAGATTGTGTCCCTCCCCCTAGTGGGCCTTTCCTGCCTCTAGGTGTGGGTTAGGAGCCTCCCTGTGTGCTTCCCCTCACATAACCTAATGGATGCCTCCAGTTAGGTTATAAACACTATGAAGGCAGGGGCTATTTAAAACCTGGGACACCTACTACTGTACCTGGCATATGGTAGCTACTCAGTATCTTAACAGCCACCAAGTCCTGTGAGCCTTTCATTATTTAGCCTCTTTGCCATCTTTCTGCCAACATGATCAGCTCATAGCTACCCCATTATACTTCTGGAGGTATCTCGACACCACTGTGGGACATTTTGTCTGTAATGCTAATAGTGTCATTAAAAATAAAAACCAACCAATCCCCAACAAAACACTGCACCGCTGGTCTTCATGTGGGTTTTTTGTCCTGGCTCCAAACCTTTGCCTTGTTGATCTCGATGCCTAGAATGCTCTAACTCATGTTGGGCCTGGAGTTGCTTATGCATCCTACAAAGTCCTAAAGAAAACCCTACTTCTTTTTTTTTTTTTTTAGTTTTATTATTTAGAGAGAGAGAGAGAGCACAAGCAGGGTAGGGGCAGAGAGAGAGGAGAGAGAGAATCCCAAGCAGGCTCTGTGCTGTCAGCGTGGAGCCAGACTCAGGACTTGAAGTCACGAACCATGAGATCATGACCTGAGCTGAAATCAAGAGTCAGATGCTTAACTGACTGAGCCACCCAGGTGCCCTGAAAACCCGACTTTTATCCTAGGCCTCACCCAACTGTCTCCCTCAGGGAACTTCTACTTTTCTGATCCCAGTAGTGTTATTAACAGCATCATTCATTTTATGCTCCAACAGCATCATGAACTACATGTCCTATTATGTGTCAGTCACATGTACAAATTTTTCTCTCCCTTTCTAGACAGTGCCTTCCTGAAGGTCAGGAATCTTGTTTACCATTTATTTTATATTACCCGGGGCCAGGACTGGCTACATAATTTGGAGGGCCCAGTACAAAGTGAAAATGCAGCCAACTTTTAAAAAATGATTATTCATTTCAAGGTGGTAACATGCCCATGAAGCAAGCCCTGCCTGGGGCTATATATACAGTAATCAATGAGCACTTACAAATGAATGGATACAAAAAATGAATAAATGTATAAATAAGTTCAGTTCTTTCAAAATCATCTTTCAGCTGGTGGGAGACACTTTGTTCCTAGAACTGAAGAAAGACAATGCTATAGGTGACCATTGTCAGTGATTGACTGGAAAGCCTTGGCTGAGGAGAGCCTGTTGTTATATGCTAAACATAGGAAGTGTTGAAGGATAATTTCTAAAAAGAGATTGAAATCATGACTCATACAAATATAAAATAAACATATATCAATGATTTTATTTAGCTCATTAATTAATGAGGGAACCAGAAAGGTGTTACAGTTGGTTTCAAAGGAAAATCCAAGGAGCAGACGTACTTCTGCCTATTAGGAATGCTGACATGAATTTGCTTATTAGATGCAAAGCTGGCTGCTTCTGAGGGAAGTCAATCCAACCTCTACCAGACAGAATGTGTTTTCTAGGAATAGGAATTATTTACATTGCTATCGGTTTCCTACAAGGTAATTTCTAACTCCACAGAGTTGTAAAATAGCCTAGTCAAAATGCAATGAAAAGCAGAGATAACCCTAGTTGAGATAGCTGCGAAATTCTAGTCTTTCTCACTTTATGTAGGAGAAAGGTAGAGGCCATTCAGGAGAGAGAGTGATCTTGCGTTACTAATCTCCTCTCTGAATATGAGCACCTGGAACTTGGGGGAAATCGTTTCTATTAATAGCTGTCACTTCTCTTGTTTCTGTTCCTGCCCGTGTAATTGAGATTGCCTTTGTTGAGGAGTTTTGAAGGCAAGTGTCTTCCTTTGGAACAATTGAGTAGGGAAGGACTGGCTTCACAGCTGGAGTAGAAGTCTTAGCCAAGTCGTTTGGAATCATCATTGTTTCTGGAAGGACTCCCAGTTTTGTCTTAAGAAAAGGTGTATAGTTATAAGTACTTTAACATTACAAATTCTGAACCCCTGTGGGGGAACAGCAGACTGTATAAACACTTAGCCATTTCAAATAGCCAGCTTTACGTAATGCTTACCAGAGTATGCATCATTAAATGTTAATCCATTTGTAAATTACGGATTTTATCACTCTATGTACTTGTTGCTCTTTCTCCAGGGGCCAATACCACAATACCATTCAAACAACTTAAACTAAATCTTACAGGTAAAATTCTAGAAGGTTCTATAGCATTGCTACTCAAAATGTGGTTCCTGGAAGGGCATTTGTTAGAAATGTGGTATCTCAGGCCCCTCACCTCAGACCTACCAGATTAGGATGGGTATTATGCACTGGTGATTTGTAAGCCTTTTATAGTTTGAGAAGTTCTGCTCAATAGCATCAAGCCCAAAAGTCATCTCTGATGTCTTTGATGTTTTCACAGGAATTGCCTACCTGTTTGCCAAAGCTTATCTCGTTTCCAAAAAACCACAGTACCTGGACACATGTATCCGGTGTGGGGAACTTACGTGGCAGAAGGGCCTGCTAAAGAAGGGGCCTGGCATTTGCCACGGTGTGGCTGGCAGTGCCTATGTCTTCTTGCTGCTATACCGGCTCACGGGAAACTCTAAATACATCTACCGAGCCCAAAGGTCAGCTTCTCTGCACATGTATTTTTTTTTTCTCTAAATGACATGTATTTTTTTTCTAAATGTTAATCTAATTCATGTTCTGAATAGGTAATAGGGTCACATAGTTTGAGAAGCGAAAAAAGAAATACATCAACTGTGCACTCCAGCAACTCGGTTCACTTCCCAGGTGACCATCAGTGTTACCAGTTTCTTAATGATCTTCTCAGAGATATTCTGTGTATATATATAAGCGAATAGGTGTACTATATATAGAGTTTTGTCTTTTTTTTATACCAGTGGTAGCACCTTGCTATCTTAGCGATTACCCTAAGTACATAAACGACTCTTCATTTTTATTGTTGCATAATATTACATCATATGATGAACCAGAATTTAGTCACTGGGTCCCATGGAGAGAGATATGTGGATTATTTCCAATCTTTTGCATTACAAATAATGCTATCATGAGTAACCTTGTGTTTATATCATTTTGCATGTGTATGGGTATATCTGAAAGATAAAGCCCTAGAAGTGGGATCACTGGGCCAAAGGGTGTGTATATTTGTGATTGCTTTTTTATTGCGGTAAGAACATTTCACATGACATCTATCCTCTTAGCATATTTTTAAGTATATGATACCATATTGTTAGCTATTGGCACAGCATTGCAGAACAGATCTCTAGAACTCATTCACCTTGCATGGCTGAAACATTATGCCCATGGAACAATAATTTTCCACTTTCCCTCTGCCCCCAGCTCCTGGCAACCACCATTCTATGCTTCTATGAGTTTGGCTATTTTAGATACCTCATATAAGTGTCATCATGCAGTATTTGTTTTTTGTTTTTTGTTTTTGTAACTGGCTTATTTCACTTAGCCTAATGTCCTCATTTATCATTTAGAACGGTGTCTGACACATAACTGCAATGTAAGTGTTTGCTGTTATTATTACTAAGAATTAGAGTTCTATCATTCCAGATATTTCTCTATGCACAAATGCATGTTTGTATACCTGTGGATATCTACCTATCTATATATGTATATATTAATAAGATCCTACTATTACGTATGTATAATAATACTATACATACTGTTCATAGATTATAATTTTAAATGAACAATTTTTAAGGGATATCCTTTGTTTTGGTTTGTATAGATCTATATCTATCTCATTGTTTAAATGACTATATAGTTATTCATTAAAGATGTACCATGATTAATTTAACCAGTCTTTAAGTAATGGACACTTGGTACCTGTGCAATCTTTACTAATAGCAGACAAAATTGTCCCACATATCTAGTGCATACATAGCTATGCACTTGTGCAAGCATTTCTTGTCAGAAAAATTTAAAAATTGAAGTCATTAGACTCATAGGTCTCTCTAGCCTGTTTTTTTTTTTTTTATCTTTTGCCCATTTTTTTCCTATTGTGATGCTTATATTGAGAATTGTAACTCTGTTACAATATATGCTGTAAATATTTTCCTACTTTGCCATTTGTCTTTCTACTTAGCTCATGATCTTTGGCCAGACCAAAATTTTAAATATTTTTCTTGTCAAACTTTCAAGATTTCTGGATTTTGTGTTAAAAAGACCTTTGCCACTCCAAGATTACAAAAATATTAATTTACATTGACTTTTAGTACCTTTGTGATTTTAACTTTTAAAAAATAAATGTATACCTCCTTCACCCATTTCTCCGACCCATTTAAAAGTTATCTTAACTTTCAAATCTTTGATTAATCTAGAACTTACTTTTTTTTAATGGTGTTATCTGGGTATCTATCTTTGTGTTTTTTAATGAAAAAACAAAACTTTCCATTAATATCTGTTGACCAATTACCTGAATGATTTGAAATGCCAATTTTATCGTAAACAAATTTATATAAACAAAAATTTATATAAATGTTTGTTTCTGGACTTGCCATATTTTATTATTCATTTATTTCTAGTTTTTCTTAGCTATTTTCTCTCATTTTCTCTTCCAATTGTATTTTAGAATGAATTTTCAAATTTCAAAAACTCCTGTGTCAATTTGACTGGAATTTCAATAAATTTATAGTTTATTTAGTGAGAATTAACATCTTTAGAATGTTGTTTTTCTATCCAGGAATATGGTATGTTTTCCCTTTATTTAAGTTTTCAGAAATATCATTTGGTAAAGCTTTGATCTTATGAAGAAGGTCTTGCATGTTTCTTGTTAATTTTTATTCCTAGATATTTTCTGTTTTCAGGTTTGTGAGTATATTTATGAAAGCTTTTTAAAATATGCATATTATTGCAGTTTAGCAATCTAAGATACACTTCTTGCCTATAAATCTACATGTATCTTATAAACATCTTGGTTTTGATAGATATAATGATATATCTGGCCACCTTTCTGAACTCCATTACTATTTCTATGAGATGTTCATTAGAGTCCATTGGGTTTTCTAAACAGACACACATATTTGCAAGTAATTATAATTTTGTTACTTCCTTCCTCATTTGTATACTCCCCCTCCCACCTTTTTCTATTGCCTGGGTCAGAATCTCTATAACAGTGTTCATTAATAAGAGTGATAGTAATGCTGATTTTTTTAGGAATGCTTCTGTGTTTCACCCTGACGTTCGAAATTTATCCTTAGGATGTTCATGTCAGATCATGACACTCCTCTGTTCAGGATAATCCAGTGGCTTCTCATATGCCTTAGAGTAAAAGCCAAAGTGTGTCCTCTGAACGAACGGCATTATATGATCTCACTTCCCATTACCTCTGTGACATTATCCTCTACTCTTTTCTTTCTGGTTCTTTCCACGGTGGCTTCCTTGTGATTCTTTTAAGATACCAGGTGCAACCTACCTTGTGGTCTTCGAAGTGTCAGTTCCCTCCACCTGTAATGCTCACTTTCTACATTTATCTCCCATCCCCCTCACTTCATTCAAACCTTCACTCAAAAGTCGTTTTCTCAGAAAGGCCTTCCCAAGCCAACTTACTTAATATTCAGTGTTAAAAAACATGATATATTGGGGCGCCTGGGTGGCTCAGTTGGTTAAGCGTCCAGCTCTTGATCTCGGCTCAGGTCATGTTCTCATGGTTCATGAGTTCAAGCCCCACATCAGGCTCTGCGCTGACAGTGCAGAGCCTGTTTGGAATTCCGTCTCTCCCTCTCTCTGCCCCTTCCCCACTTGCTCTCTATCTCTCTCTCAAAATAAATAAATAAACTGTTAAAAAAAACCCATAAAATATCCTCTATGATATTTGCCTGTATGCACTGAGGGAAAAATACTAACGTATGTCAGTCCTCCATTTGAAGCTTCATTGTTCAGGAATTCTGTTAACATATTTTGATTCATGGCTGCCTAATCTGTTTGGTTGCAGCCTGACCCTTTATTTCCTAAATGTAGAAAAAGAAAGTGATTTGGGACTCTGTCTAGACTAATGCAATATCACCTTTGGGATAGATTTCATTAGAGATTGTCATGCCCTAGAAAGCCTATTAAAAAGGGCCAGAATGGGGCATCAGGGTGGCTAAGTTGGTTAAGCATCCAACTCGATTTCGGCTCAGGTCATGATCTCAGGGTTGTGGGATCAAGGCCTGTGTCATGCTCCACGCTGAGTGTGGAGCCTGCTTAAGATTCTCTTTCTCCTCCTGCCTCTCTCCCCTGCTTGTGTTCTCTATCCCTCCCTGAAATAATAATAAATAATAATACTACTAATAATAGGGGCCAGAAGAACCCCTCTATTTTTCTGGTAGACCAGTCCCAGCTTACAGAGTCTTAGTTATAAGGTTCTGGGATCCGGGGCCCTTCAGACAGCTTCCATTTCTCACTTATAGGTAGAGCCTGAAAATGTGCAGGTAATATCTGAATATTTGGGGGTCACTGCATTTAATGCTTTAGTGTACTGAAATTTCCACGTCATTATAATTCAAAGTTAAATATGTCATGGCCCAAATTGGGGAAACTTGCCTAATTTTGGCAGTTCCTAAAACAGTAATGTCAAACAATATGTACCTTTCTTTAATAAACATTACTTGGTCATCAGTTGAAATTTATAGTTGCAAAAAAATAGTTGATAATGATTTCAGATCTTTCTATCATTATTTAATTATTCAGGTTTTCTACCTCTTCTTGAATTAATTTTGGTAGTGAAGATATCTCTATGAAAATACTTAGTTCATACGGATTTTCAAATGTTTTATGTAAAGCTTTAACAGTAGAGTTCCATGGTATTTTAAATTTCCCATATCTGTGATTATATGCCCTTTTGCATTCCTAATGCCTTTCCTTTCTGGTCAGACACCAGCGTTTTGTCTATGTTGTTCATCCTTTCAAGGAACTGAGTTTTGGTTTTGTTTATTGATTCTTTTTGTTTTTCTTTCACTGCTTATTTCATTACTTTCTGCTTTTATTTTGATTTTTCTAGTGTTCTTTTCCTTTATTTTCTACAGTCAAAAAGGTTAATTAGAATACCTTACACCTTTCTAATAATAGCAATAATAACAATAATAAAATCCTCATGTGAATGAATTTTCCCGAGTTCAATTTTTGTCATAATCAATAGGTTTTGATATGTAATGTTCTCAGTGCCTATACTTCTTTTTAGTTCTATAATTACCATTATGACTTATATTTTCACAGAATTTTTTAGAAAAATGAATTTGTTATTTTGAATTTTGCATCAGTGTGTAGATTTTGAAACAGTCATTATCATTTTAATATGATAACGCACGATACCGGTCAGAACACACTGAAACTGCTACTCTCATACATTTCTGGTACTCTTATAAATTGCTATAAGGCATTTAGGAATTATTTTGAAAAGCACAAAAATGTTTATCATATTATTTTTAAGTAAAAAAAAGTAGGAGACTAAATATTGTACCAACAATAATTTCAATAATAAATAAATCGCATGCCTGGTGGCGAAATGTTAAGTTGTCCACTTCAGCCAGGTCACGATCTCAAGGTCCCTGGTGCCCTCAGCCCTGCCACAGGGGCTCTAAGCACGGGGTCTCTGAGCCCGGAGCCTGTTTCCTCATTCCTGTGTCTCCCCTCTCTCTGCCCCTCCCGCCCATGCTCTGTCTCTCTCTGTCCGAAAAATAAATAAACGTTGAAAAAAAAAAATTAAAAAAAAATAATAAATAAATCAAAGCTGAGGGGAAAAAAGGTCAGAAGGAGAAAGAGAAAAATTAAAGTATGGTGGAATGATAGTCTCTGTTTTATAAATATTCTGCTATGTTTATGTGAAGAACAATATAGCGAATGCTTGTCATATGCTCGGAGCCTAATATATGGTATCTTTAATCTTGGCCAAGAATCTTTTTTTTTAATTTTTTTTATTTATTTTTTTCAATATATGAAATTTATTATCAAATTGGTTTCCATACAACACCCAGTTCTTGGCCAAGAATCTTACAGAATTCTGCAACTTCACCATTTTAAAGTCAGATTAAGAAATTTGCCAAAGGCCGTATAACATGAAATTATCAGGGTTGAGTATCTCATCCCCAAATGCTTCCTCTTTCTTAGTCTGGGGAATACTTGAGAAAGTATTATGTGTTGAACTGAAATGTCGCATTGTCTTCAACTCTGAATGTGTGTAGTAAGCCACAGGAGAATTAGCAGTGGCTGTGACTCTCACCAGTGGAAGTCATAGATATTCTCACATCATATGACTCTTGTTGCAGATATTATGAAATATATTTGACTCTCATTGCTACTTGGAAATGTCAGCAGCTATTAGACCTGCTACTAGATCTTGTTATTTAATGTGTTAATAAAGAACACATATATTATTATTCCACAAATTTGCTTTAAAAACTTCTGCTAACTATGCCTTAATATAATGAATTTCCTTGGGGATCCTATGCATTTTATTTTCTGAATTTGAAGACTTTCTTCTGGAAGGAGTCCAGACTGCAAAATGATCCGTGGCACTGTAAAGGTTATGATTCCTTGAAGCTATACTTTGAAGTTTCATTGCATAATTACAAATTTTGAATTAACTCTTAAGAGGTGTCATTATTCTACTGTTTAAAATCTTGAACCCCATTGAAAAAGTACATACTCAGGAAAACAGTTGGTAGAAAAATTGTACCAAACAGAATTGCAATGTGTTTCTTGCTGATTTATTTTAAGCTGCTCTTGATAATTCCAAGAGCCCTAAAAAAGATCAAATAAGTAATTATGCTTTGCAGGGCCCCCCCTTACATAGTAGCAATAATCTAAATTTATGGCAGTTTCAGCTCTCAGGCCTTACCAACCCGTGAGTTCCAGCCTCTGAATCGGTGATTGTTTGTGTTGTTGACAGAAACCAATAGAGCAGGTCCCTAAAGAGATGACACACGTCACAGCATTTTCAAAGCTGTAAACTACTAAAAATGTTACTCATTATAAATAATTTGGATAGGATTTGTGGCAAATACAGGTAGAAGAAAAAGGATCTTTCATGGAGAATCTAGAGGCCAGTGATTTAGTTTTAAGGCAGATGTCCTAAAAATAATCTATCTTGTAGCTGAGTTTGCTATTTGATGTCATGATTATAAAATGTTGCTTGCCTTTTCCCATTTATCTTACTCCTTTGTTTGCCCAAAGCACAGATTGTATAAAACCTTGCCCATTTATTTTCACAGCCTCTGCTCTCTGTCACATATAAATGAAACCCAGCTCAGAAATGATATGCCTGCAGAAGCACAGCGTATTTACTCTTTTAAAGGAACAGTCATATATCAGCTTGCTTCTATTCAAGATAAATAAAAAATATGGCTATTTATCTGTCTCTTTTACTTTTCACTATTGGATGACAGAAGGAATGAAGTCCTCAGAAAATACCAAACTGCTCTGCTTTGCAAACTCTGATAATAGCTGAATTTGCTTGTCAAGATAATTTATTGTGAAACATACACAGTGATATAATGGATCCTCTTTAAAAAAACAAAAAACAAAAAACAAAAAAAAAGCTTTCTTGAAATATTATACAGTTCCAGAAAGAAAATGGTGCTAAAACTTTAACTTATCAGAGAGGAGGAAGAAGCAATCCAAAACTAATAATATGTTAAAAGTGTTCATATTTTCTTCTTCTCTTAGGTTTGCTGAGTTTTTATTTACTGAGGAATTCAAGGCTGGTTCTCGGGTCCTTGAAAGTATATACAGCTTGTATGAAGGCTTCTCCGGGACGGTGTGCTTTCTGATCGATCTGCTGCAACCCAATCAGGCGGAGTTCCCTCTCTTCAGCGTCTTTGTCTAGAAGGCTCCATCTCCCACTGTGGCCCTGCAGAAGGTCCCTGAGATTTCCCAAGCCTACCCGAGGCAGTTTCCACATAAGCCACATTCAATGGTATCACAACCATGAGCCTTAACATTGCCGCCCGGAAGGAAGGGAGGGAGAGAGGGAGAAGGCAGGTGAAGGCAACATGATGCTAGACTTAAGGGAGAACGGTTTGAGAACCTGCAAAATAAAGACACCACAAGTCCTCTAAAAACTGTAGAGATTTAACATTTCAGGGAGTAGATGTGAAACCTGAGATCAGAGGAAAAAGGGAAAGAGAAATCATGGTTTTCAGTTATGGCATAGAAAACAAAACTGAAATGTGGACTAGGGTAATAAAATGGCAATACCTTTGCAATTGGAAAGAGAATTTGACCATTTATGGGTGCCTTCCACCCCTAAATTCAGAAATAAACACAACCGAAAGCTAAAATAATTGCCCAGCTGAAAATTGCTAGCTAGGAGGGATGAAATGTCAGGTTGCTGAAGGACAAAAAAGGAAACTCCTGGTTGTTCAATCCCTTTACTTGTTGAAATTCATGATTTTTACTGAATGGAGAAGTTTGCATATGAATCTCTATTTTTAATCACTACCCTGATCACTTTAAGGGAAACATATCATAACTTTTTTTAAGATTTTATTTTTAAATAATATCTACACCCAACACGGGGCTCAAACTCACAACCCCAAGATCAAGAGTCGCACGCTCTTCCGACTGAGCCAGCCGGCCACCCTGAAATATATCATCACTTAGTTTAAATCTTGAAATTCGAAGTTTCTTTAGGCCTTGCATCTCTTTTCCTGGTTCCTTTTTCTTTCCTAAAGCTCAATTAGAATAGTAAAACTCACAGGCTAGCAAATACTGTGACAAGTGTTGCTGTCAAGTGTTTTTCTCAATTTGAAGCGTGGGCTGTGTATTGTCTATTGTTAATCAATATTAAAATGCTTATGTAATCCCTATGAAGCTATCAGCTGAATTGTAAAATACCCTCGTGGTAAAAATCACTCACTCGTCTCAAAGATCAGGGTAGCCACTACAAAGGTATGTCGTTTCTGCCTTTGAAGGAATACTGTGTCCCCTGGGACAGGCAGACCCTGGCTGAAGAAGGGACCTGGTGATGGTGAAAAGAACATTGCTAAAGTTTCTGCTATTAGATTAACACATGAGTAAACTCCCTGGCTAATCACCTTACTTTCCAAGACACAGGCTCCACTAGAAACTGTCTACAGTACCCACTGAGCCAAGTTGCCATATTAAATCCAACCCTCCTGTAAACACACAGAAGTTGTAAAACTACTTCAGGTAAATAGGGGTTTGCAGAACACTGTAGAAGCATTTGTCAGATGAGAACACACACTGACCCTTTCCTAATACTTGGCCACTGGCAATTTCATATATCAGAGGAGGGAATTGTGTACTGTATAAGATTTAAGAATTATTGAAATAGTCATTAAATATTTGCATATGTGATAGATGTAAAAAATATATATATATACATATTCTACATCTATCTCCATGTAAACCTAAATACTAAGTTCAGTTGTTCCTAACTTCTTGATTTATAAACTGAAAGGAGTTGGGGATATTCTGTTGCCTAAGAATATGTGTGTGTGTGTGTGTGTGTGTGTGTGTGTGTGTGTGAGCACGCGCTGGCGTGTGTGTGTGTGTGTGTGTGTGCTGTGCGTGTGTGCACGCTCATTTTTCTGGGAAGAGGTTCTCTAGCATTCATAAGATTCTCAAAGAATCTGTGGCTGAAGAAAGGTAGGAGGTACCTTTGTATATTTTAAAACTGAATGTTTACACTCAATCAGAACAAGGTTGGACAAAATGGTTCGAAAAGCATGCACCTTTTTTGTTTATTGTTTCCTTTTCATATCCTCAGATATAAATATATAAAATTGGCCTCAGTTGTTCATTTTTGAAGATACTCAGGTTGGAGCAGCACCACATAAATAACAGCTTTCAGATGACTCCCAAAGTTGGGTTCTAGAGGTTCTTTCCTGAATAGTCAAGGCCTCTCAGAAAGCCTTATGTCAAAATGCCTTGTATGGAGTAGTCTCCTTTTGAAAGGATGGTGGTATTTGCTTTTCAGCATCTGTTTTTTTTTTAATGTTTATTTATTTTTGAGAGAGAGAGAGACAGAGACAGAGACAGAGTGCAAGCAGGGGAGGGGCAGAGAGAGAGGGAGACACAGAATCTGAAGCAGGCTCCAGGCTCTGAGAATGTCAGCACACAGCCTGACACGGGGCTCAAATTCACGAGCGGTGAGATCATGACTTGAGCCAAAGTCGGATGCCCAACCGACTGAGCCACCCAGGCGCCCCTCAGCATCTGGTTTTAAATTCATTTCCTTTGGCTGGAAGTAATAAGCATCCTATATACAGGGCTTAATGGAAAACATGCTTTTTTCATCATCCAATAACCCCTTGAGGTGATTTAGGTCATTGATCCAAAATCTCACAGCCAGGAAGGGGCAGAATGAGGATTCACATCCAGGGTTTCACTTCACAAGTGTATTTATTCAGTATCCTAGACTAGAATCTGGGGATATAGCAATGAACAAAAGTACCCCTGGAAGGTACCTTCTGTTTCTGTTTGCTGACCCTTCTACTATTCATCCGTGAGACCTTAAACCTAAAGCACTCAGGGGCGCCTGGGTGGCACAGTCGGTTGAGCGTCCGAC